GGTTGTGATTAGGTAAGTACCTACCATATCATTCTTTTATTAGTCGTGCTGATCGTGACACTACTTGTACCGCAGACGCGAGCTATCAGTGTCATATCAAATCGCGATGTTGATATGCGATAGAGGATATTAATTTCGCGACACTTACAATGACTTTGCAAAGAAGCGAAAAATAAAGGGGAGCTTATATTTCACTTTATTTCCAGCCAAACCTTTTACCCGCTGAAAATGCCACAGAGGCTTATCAATACTAGCTATACGCGGTAATGAACATCATTTCTGTATACGCCTATTGCTTATACCATGGATGAGGTAATAATCATTATCAGATCTCATCCATGCCATCTTTCCTTGCTGTCACATTGGAGGGCTTGAATCCCAACTTCCCGAGCTTACTTGTGCCCTCTCGTGCCACAATCACAGTAGGCTTTGTAAATCAGCCAGGCTGCTATGCCGTCTATGCTGTGCTTCCTGTCCGACCACATGACCATAGAAGGAGAGAAATCGAGGGTGTTATTAGAAGTTTAACTTCACGTTCCCTTTTTAGGCCTGACGGTCCTGGGAGCACTCGTGCCGTGTCTACCCCACGCAGTGAAGACCGTTCCAGAGTGCTCGGCGCCGCCACCCGCCCCATTCCCTGAACGCGGCGTCACCCGGCAGCCGCGCGTGTCGGCCGGCCGTGCAAGCCGACACCAAATAAGGCTGACCCGAGCGACACGAGGCGGCGCGCGGCGCAGAAGGGAGGGGCGCTCACACGGCTGGGAGGGGCCGGGGCCTGGGACGGTCCACTGACCTGACTCGCGCCCTCCGTCAGCGCCGGCAGTGCCGTCACCAGCGCGTTGTTGTCGTCACCGTCAACACCCCGTGCTGTCATCACCGCTCCGTCATGCGTCATCGCCCTGTCATCGCGGTGCGTCAACGCCACCGCAGTCTATGACCGGCGCTCGTGAGCCCGCCTCAGACACCTCCCTCGCCTACACTCAGCGCTTTAAAAAAATGTGAAAACGGCCGTGCTGTGTCTCAGGGTTCCGCACTTCACTTTGCGAGCGCGTTTAACATAACGAGTCCACGCCAATGCGTACCAAAATACTTTATATAGTTGCTCGCCTTCTATCTTTTTTCTACTTTATTTCTGTCGACTATCACCCTCTCCTTATAAGAGTTTCGTGCGCGAGACGCTTCACGATGATGTTAAGAATAAAGCAGGAAGATGATGTCTGAAAGTAATTATTTATGTGTGCATCTTTGTCACATGAAAATATGTCTGCTGATATGCAGCACACACCCATTGTTGTGTTGAACTTATAAGCTTTTAGTAAAACGTGCTTCCTGGAGAAAAAAAAACTTGCACATTTTTTTGTGAGAGAGATGTAAAGCAATATTGAAATATATATCTAAGTTCTTTGTAAAAGTATTGCGTTCGGGGGTACCGTCGAGCATGCATGTTGAGTGATGCGTACTCGCTGAACAGACAAGGCGCGAAATGTTTTCCGACATCAAACAGCTCTCCGCCTCGCTGACAAACTGGTACTGCCCCGATAGCCATCACACGTCGCTGAACATCGAGACTTGACCGCACTGAAGTGTTCTGGGCATGTTCCTCAACTCGCCACCCGATGCTCCCGGATCTGGCTTTAAAAAGATCCTATAGTGGTCTGGTGTCTTCTAAAAACATTTCGTACTTTCTGCCTCAACTCCGTAAAGCGATGCTGTGCTTGATCGCCGGAGTGAAACAATGTGATTGTACTGTACTGTTTAAGCAAATAACATCTCCAATTGATATTAAATAGTGCTAATGCAATCAACTAATACCGTTGGATCATGAGCCATCAACTGAATAATGAGCTGCACTTAATTACCAAAGTAAGGAGCAAAAAAAGAAAGGGGTGCATTTTGTAAGTTGTATACGTTTTTGTAAGAGGGGAACAACTATATAATTACATTAAGTCAGTAGGTATCACTCATGAAATATTAATCGTTCATTTGTCGAATGTTTCATTTCATGCTGGTCTTAAAAGGTCTGCAGCCTTGACCCGAAGTAAGACTCTGGCCTTCGATGTTCATTTACGAACCGGACGTGGTGTTTCATCTGCCAGCAATACTCCGGCCGGACAGAGCATTTGCATTCCAGTCGGGTGTGGCATACGGCGCGCGCCGGGCGGCCGGCCGGTGTCACTGTGGGAGGCATCACTGGGGCGCGGCCGGCCGGTGTCACTGTGGGATCGGTATCAGTGGGGAGGCCGACCGGAGTCACTGGGGGAGGCATCACTGGGGAGGCCGGTCGGTGTCACTGTGGGATCGGTATCAGTGGGGAGGCCGGCCGGAGTCACCGGGGGAGGCATCACTGGGAAGGCCGGTCGGAGGTCACGGAGGGAGGTATCACTGGGAAGGCCGGTCGGAGGTCACGGAGGGAGGTATCACTGGAACGGCTAGCCAGTGATCCTTGGGGTACCTCACTGGGAGAGGCATCCCTGGGGCTGCCGGCCGAGGTCACTGGGGGAGGCATCACTGGGGCGACTAGTGTCACCTCTGCGTCGCGGCGGCCTTGGAGCGCCGCCCGCCCGCCCTGATTCCGGCCTGTGATTGCGCCTCGGACACGGTCAGCCGCCGCGCGCCCGCCCTGACACAGCGGCGGCGCCCCAGCGCCGGTCTGCTCTCGAGGCACGTGCGACACGCCTGTCAGCGCCAGTGGCGCGGCCCCTCGCGGCCCGAGAGCTGATGAGACGGCGCCGGTGGCCGCCACGGGTGGCCTCAGGCACGGCGGGCGCCCGGAGCACTGAGCAGATCCGTGATGCAGCACCTCGGACACCCAGCGACGGGGTGTGCTGCAGCACCCTCTGACATGCCGATCGGCGGGGCGTGATGCAGCAACCTCCTCCCCCTCCATTTTCAGACACCTAGTCGCAGCCCGTGCTGCATTCTCCGCTGCAGAGATAGCTAGGCGCCCTTCGCAGTGCACACCGGCCGCCGCCCGGTTCACTCAGACGGCTGCCTTTTAGAGCCGGCCGGACGGGCACCGCTTTACAACACAATTGCATAGTGAGCCGACTGGATTAACGCCGCGTTACATAGTAGTGCACAGTGATCGGGCACTAATCATATGCGAAATACGCATGGGAGATAGCTTTATGATAGTTGTTGTTCACATTTATGTTACTGGACGCAACGCATCTTGAAAATTTCTTTCTTTTCGAGGTATCTTCTTTTATGCTCACGGTTTTGCCTTTCTGCCGTCACTTCTCTCGCACCCTCACTCTCTTTCTCCCTCTCTCCCTCTCTTCTTATCCTCATCTTGCGGGGCAGCGTCTGTGTCCGAACAGACAGACAACAGGAGCGGCCAGACCCATTGATAGCGTCCTCCAACTAAAGAGCCTGCGCAACAATGCTGCCCAAATTGAACTCCACGGAGCGGCAGCAGCTGCGGCAGCCTCTCTCCGCCCGCAATGACGGCGGAGATAGGCTGCCAGTGAACTCCCATTCACAAGGAAGCAGCGGGCCACTCTGTGCACTGCGGATGCTGAGGCTCCCAGAAAGTTGTACAATTCTTTCTAAGCTAGAAAATGAGTTGTTTTTTTAGCTGCAGTGCCTGCCTTCATGGATGGAATAGTCATTTCTGTTTACTTTGTCTTCATTCAAAACATATATTCCAAGTCATTTCTATTGATCAAAGCGTAAAGCTGCTGCAGCTGCTCCCATATTATGGCTGAAAGTAATTTCCTTCGGAGTAAGGCTATCATCGATCTATCATCGACCTCAGGAAAGCACCAGAGTCCAGCTAGATTCTTGATTGGGATAACTTTTGCGAGCTTTTTTAAACCATTGTATATATTCAGTATGTGTGAAACTCGGCAGTCGGCTACTAAGACAGCAGCGTTTATGCACATAGTTATCACACGTTAAAACTCAAACTCAGTTGGAGCTGGAGCCAGTGACCAGTACGGGATCAGGGACGCTGCAATCTTCAGCACATATCTGGGACTCAGCCGGAGACAGTGAGCCGAGTGGTGAGCCTTTTAAATTGCTTTTGAGAAGAGATAAGCCAAGTGTGACAGCAACGAAGAAATGAAGACACCTTAACGGTTTGTATCATAAACCAGAGAAAAGAGTTTTATTTCCCAGCTTTCTCCAGCATTAACCATTTTACTATGGGTGGAGACTTCCATTTCGCGTCTAGCTATAGACGCGTCAAGTCTAAGACGCGTCTAGCTGGACGGCGGCTGCGTCTACCTGGCGACAGCCATCCTTACATAGACGCGTCTAGCTTGGAAGTCCTCGTCCAACAGTTAGACGCCAACCTGGACGCCAACTTGGACGTCTGCTCAGTTAGACGCCAGTTGGACGCCAGTGGAAGTCTCCACTATATCTTCATTAGACTAAGTGCATGAGAAGTCATACGCTTTTAACATTTATTCATAGAAGTTACTGAAGAACAATGCACCTTATTGTTTCACCTCCTTATTGTTGAGGTGAAAATTATACACAATTCATTTTTTTTCAAGCTTTAATAGAACTGGTGATCTTATATGAGAGTTCAACATACTTGACCTTTTCAACATATCTGCACCGGATTTCGATGGTTCTAAAACATCTTGCTGAAATAATGTCATACAGATTCTAAAATTTAATATATCGTCAGGGACCGGTTTAGTATAGCATTCCACACAAGTCAGTTGAAGGCCTCGCAAGTCATACTTTCGCACAAGCAAGGCTCACTCTTCACGCTCGTTCCTATATCGCCCCACAGGCGTTTCACTGGTGACAAAAGTATGGTATACCTGTCCTAAATAATACAAAGGATGCCTTTCTATAAAGACAGGATGGTTGATGAATCTTGCTCCACGGCCATGAAAATGCCTCATTCAAAGCAGTGCAATGTTACTTAGAAACATCACACTTGAAAAGTGCAGCCCCGCCCCATACAATAATCCCGACTCCAAAACATTCACCCTCTTCCGATATTCACCACTGCGTGAAAAACTACCGAGCATTTGATGACTGACCTGCTTTGGCAGTGCTCGGTGCTCCGCTGGTGCTCCGGGTCAGAGCTGCAAGGAGCCGGCGCCTGCAGCGGCGTGGAACGGAGAAGACACGGCGGTGTCGACACAGCCGCTGACGGTATTCGACTGGCATGCGATCATCCTGTCACTCCCCTCATGCGCTGCACCCCTCCCCCAGCCCCCTCCCCCAAACAGCGCCCCGACCCGGCCCCTCAGACCACCGGGTTGGTCGCCGCTACTGCCATCTATGAAGCCTTCCCATAGTTGAGAGCGCTACCTAGGCCAAGACCGAAATGACTCGGCTCTCGGTACTGCAAGGGATGGAACTGATGCTGAGCCATCATGCTAATATGGAGATTCAAATGATTGATTTTGATCCTGAGGTTTCTGTTATGCATTTTGAGACACAGAAATGCCCGTTACGGTTTCGTCCCCACCTGCTGCTCTGCTTGTCAGAAGGCGATTTGCTTTGCTCCCGCGCGCAAGGAGAAAAAGCCAATGCCAACGAAGTTCGAACATGTTATAAGCTTTTCGACCGATGATGCTACGGTCTTCCGCCATCGCGACCATCCAGACCAGATCATCTGCATCAATGATCTCTTTACCCTATCCAGGCTTACGGTCACCCCACCAGCCTGTCGACGGCATATCTGAATAGGGAGCCTTCTTACCGGTGTGACCGTTTGAGTGGTCTGGCGGTCTGTACCATCGGGACACTACCTTCCCAACGAGATTACTTCAGTCACTGCATGGTGTACCAGTCAGGGGTCGACTCAGCCCAAAACCGCACCCCTATTTTTCATCCCACGGCCCTGCAATGACCGTCAATAGACCGAAGAGGCTAACCGCTAACAAAATATATCAAGTAATCTTTAATTGCTTACTGTATGTGGAGCCATCCGCAGCACATTTTACTTTGGAGTCGGCGAGGCCGGGCTTGAAGTCGGTGCTGGAACACTCAGTCGGAGCCAGTATCAATGACACGTCCGTTTACATCATGCCTTGTGACAGCTTTCGGCACGATCTGTATAAAATGGTGTTATCTTGTTATGATGCGTTCAGTGCAAGATAGCATGTTCTTTACAAGCCTTGTGCCGTATAAAAAGTATATTTTACACTTGTAAGTACACAACACACATAAAAGCATGTGTTATCAATATGCTTCCTTCAGTCATACTCGATTATGAGTAGACTGAGAGAGGAGACAGGCTGATACTTAAACTGAAACCGACAAAATATCACCGCTTCCATACTGAATTGGTCTCCAGTACCATAGCGGGGGAGACACTGGTGGATCCAAACAGGTAGGAGTGGACGCTACTGGATCCATTCTCCCCAGAGGCTCTCTGATTTCAAAAATCTTCTCGGATTTCGGTCCCACAAGCGTTTCCATCTGACGGGGGGGGGGGGGGGTTATCCGCCCCCCCCCCCCTGAGGACTTTCGTGAATAGCGGGATAACCGTGGCGCGTAGCGCCGCGAAATTTGGCATGACTATTCTCTCATCAATTTTACACATGGTGTGCAAGTTTGAGCCTCCAAACTTTTAACCCGCGCACCGACGGGGGTCTGCGCCAACTTCGTACCGACGGGGGGGGGCGGATGACCCCCCCCCCCCTGAGATCTCGAGAACGAAGGAAGATAGCGACAAGCGGTAAACGGCATCGGATACGCACGGTCAAGATCTACAATTTTTACTAAGGTTGTTTTCAGGTCAGGTCAAAGATGACGTCACAGGGGTCGAAAAAGTCAAAATGGCGGCGATAGATATGGATAGTTTTACTCGAATAACTTTCGAATTAGTCAAGATAGGAACAAACTAAGGGCATCATCGTGATCCTCTCGTCAATCCGCATCGAATGATATATATGTTGACCTCAAAAGGTCAAGGTCAAAGGTTGACCTCAGGTCACGTGACCTCGAGGTCATCATGTATATCATTCACAATGCAATCAACACAATGAGACCATCCACGCGTCTGTATCTTGTTCCTGTACGGAGTTATTGGCCAAAAACCTTTGGTGACCTTTGATGACGTCACATGACCTCACAGCTGCCCAACAGCAAAACAGACCTCAAGGTAGTGAAGGTTGATCGTATATGAAGTCATGTATGGTATATGGGGCCATTCCGACCGGCGACCCGTTTTAGTGGCAAAAACAGGGAGTTGATTTTTCCCCCATTGACTTATAATGGGGAGGTCGCGAAATTGACCTGACCTTAGGTCACCGATATCAAAATTCCGAGATATACAAATTGTAGCTACTAATGACCTAATAACATCCTGCGACTTTCAAAGGCCTCTGACATCCACTGTAGCTCTGGCACGGTGACAAAGTTGCAAAAAAGTGACTTGAGGTTGGGTCATTCAAAGTGACCTGGTGACCTGACCTTGAAAGGTAGGAGGCTCAAACTTGCACACCATGTGTAAAATTGATGAGGGAATAGTCATACCAAATTTCGAGGCGCTACGCGCCGCGGTTTTCCCGCTATTCGCGAAAACCCTAAGGGGGGCGGATATCCGCCCCCCCCCGTCGGTGCGCGGGTTAAGGTCAGGTCACCAGAGCCCAGAGGTCACTTTGAATGACCCAACCTCCAGTCATTTTTTGCAACTTTGCCACAGTGCCAGAGCTATAGAAGATGACGGAGGCCTTTAAAAGTCGCAGGATGTTATTAGGTCATTGGTAGCTACAATTTGTTTATCTCGGAATTTCGATATCGATGACCTAAGGTCAGGTCAATTTCTCGACCTCCCCATTAGGTATAAGTCAATGGGAGAAAATTCAGCTCCCTGTTTTTTCCACTAAAACGCGTCGGAATGACCCCATATACCATACACAACTTCATATGCGATCAACCTTCACTACTTTGAGGCCTGTTTTGCTGTTGGCCAGCTGTAAGGTCATGTGACGTCATCAAAGGTCACCAAAGGTTTTTTGCCAATAACTCCTTACAGAAACGTGATACACCCGCGCGGAGGGTCTCATTGTGTTCAGCTTGTCAAGGCGCATCGAATGATATACATGATGACCTCGAGGTCACGTGACCTGAGGTCAACCTTTGACCTTGACCTTTCGAGGTCAACATATATATGGTTCGATGCGGATTGACGAGATAATCGCTATGCTGCCCTTAGTTTGTTCCTAGCTTGACTAATTCGAACGTTATTCGAGAAAAACTCTCCATATCTAGCGCCGCCATTTTGACTTTTTTGGCCCCTGTGACGTCATCTTTGACCTGACCTGAAAATGACCTTTGTAAAAATTGTAGACCTTGCCCGTGCGTACCCCATGCCGTTTACTGATTGTCGCTATCTTGCTTCATTCTCGATATCTCAGGGGGCGGTCATCCGCCCCCCCCCCCATCGGTTGTACTTTGGCGCAGACCCCGTCGGTGCGCGGGTTAAAATCATACTGAATTGATAAAATTTGTTTAATTTTCTTTCTGTGCGGGAAATAAGCAAAGCTTTGCAACTTTTGAACGCTGTAAAAGAGTCAAATGTCCGAATGCCCCTGCCGACACACCAATGTGGGCAGAGCACTTCTACGATTCCCAACAACACGCTTGTCATGACTATATACGGATTACTCGTCCGCTTTTACTAGTGTCAACCACATGCTCCTTTTATTCAAGCTCCGTCACTCTTTTAACATCAGAGGTCTTGCGTATAGCTGGATTGAGTCTTACCTGTGCCAGCGCTCCCAACGGGTCATTGTCGATGGGAAGCACTCTGAGTGGACGCCAGTCTTGTCTGGCGTCCCGGAAGGCAGCATTCTCGGCCCAATCTTGTTTGCCTGCTATGTCGCTGACCTTCCAAGTAGTTAATATCAAGACAGGCTGTTTGGCATACGCCGATGACGTCAAAATTTTTCATCGCATTCGAAATCCCCGCACTGTTTTTGTCTGTATATTTGTATACAATGTGATAAAATGAAGGAGACCCATAATGCCACTGCGTGTTTACAATAACATAGGTATTATGCATATATACCTAAACCAGAGCGAGAGGTGGTCTACTTCGATGAATCGTTATCTCACTATGTCATCATTGTATTTTGACCTCTTTAATGTACCTACTTGTGCTTTCCATTTTTTTTTCTTTAGTTACGCTACCGTGTATTTTCCTTATATCTTTTTCGTGGAGTCACTCATGTATGTGTTGTGTTCGCATTCTCGAATTCATGTTTGTAACAACATGATATATTTCGACCGCTTATAAACTACGTAACAATACGTAACACTTCAAATAACGCCCTGACGTTTGCCCGCTGATTTGAGTTCGCTGAGCAACAAGCTTGCTTAGCTCGGCGGCTCTTTTCAGTGGGCATTTGACTCTGCCGAACCCAGACCAGATACTGTCCCCCCCCCCGCAAAAATGTGTGAATGCGCTGCATGATTAACCTAACTAACCGATGGAATGACTGATCCTTTGGCTTATTCTTAAATGGGAAGGTGTAGTGGTCAGTCAAGCTACATTTAGCCTTGACTTCTTTGCTTCTCTTTTAAGCCATATACCATACTAACAAGGGCCTTACCGCGCTTATTCCAGCTTTGATTTTGTTTTCTTCATTCTCCTAGCAGGGAGTGTCGCGACTTGATGTTTTATGTTTCGGGGTGGTGTTAACGTAAGGTTCTATGTGTCGCGCGGGTCAGTGGGTGGACACTCCTGGTCGTCTATTCATGGGCGGCGGCTTAGAAAAAAAAAATCACGAGGACACCCTTTCCCTTCAGGCCGATCTGAACCGTCTATGCGACTGGCAAAAAGTTGGCACTGGAAGCTCAATCCAGCTAAATGCAGGACGATATCATTCACTCTCCGCACCAGCTCCGCACGGCCCCGGTACAGGGTAGGTACTTATTACCTCCTGGACGGACATCAACTGGAGCGATGCGAGCAGATGCGCGATCTTGGTGTCGTCCTGGATGCAAAACTGACTTTTGCCGATAATGTTGATGCCGCGGTTGGCAAGGCGAACCGTATGCTCGGTCTGCTTATGCGCAGTGTCCAGATGTCCCCATGTGCTCGCCGCCCAGACTTCAATCATCATGCAATCTTGTCAGCGTACAGAGCCCACGTGCTGTCCGTGATGGAGTACGCTAGTGTCACCTGGTCCGGGGCCGCCGCAACTCATCTCAAACGCATGGAACGTGTTCAGCATAGGTTTCT